ATTATACCTGGGCATCAAGGTCTCTCAGCAGCAGCAGCAGATCGCTTTGTGAGTCATCAGTACATTTTCCAAGCTCCTTCCTGTTGTTTCTATCTGGTTGTCTGAGACATAGCATGATAACGAAGGTGTCAAGAAAAACAATATCAAGCCCCAAGTGTCCATATTTGCCACATTAACATACTTTCCTCCAATTACCTTAAAAATGCATGCATACCATCTCAATAATGTAGTCTTTTACCATTTTGCTTTTAAAATGGTCCTTAGCAAACTTGTCTACACCTACATCCAGTGTCATATACATACATCAAATCTTTGTTCTCCTAGTTTGATTCCTTTTATCCCATTTCCTCCTGGTGATCTTCACATGCTTCCCCAAATTAAAAAGTGACATTAGCAAGGTCATTTTGATGAATATCTTTCACAAACAGAACTTTTTATTTTTAAAGTAACTAAGAGAGAATCTGTAATATGAGATATAAGGACTCAACTTTATCAAGGGACTCTCTCTTCTCTGGGGGAGAGTTTTGGGGAAAAGTTTTGGATTTTATATTCAGGCAAAAGATATGTTTATCAGGCATGCATTCCTGGAAGATTTTCTGTAGAATTCTTTAGTAATTAACGGGTGTGGGCAACTGAGCAAACAGGTCAGCATGTGCTAACTTTTCAAACTAGTATTGCCTTTATTTTCTGGGTCAATTAAACTGTAATTCTTTTTGTTGTAATGAGACTTACATTTTAGGAGTAGCCAAAACAATTCTTTTTTAACTCTCTGAGAAACACTCAAATATTACCTGCCCTGCATCCAGCCCTATGCTAAAGGTGTGGTTTCTTCAAGTTACCAAGACCAACTCAGTTGCCATGTCTTCATTAGTCTCAGCAGGGACACAAATGGATTTATCTGTAATTCACAGTGTAACACTTTTTCCACTCCCAGAACAGAAACAGGAATGCCCAAGGTAACATCCAACTATAGATCTCTGATCTCAAGGGAGGCATCATGTTTTTATGGAAGGCTCCTGACTTACAGTGGTTTATGATTTTTCTACTTTATCATGGTGCAAAAGTGATAAGCGTTCCATAAACGCTATACTTGGAATTTTGCTCTTTTCCCAACTAGTGATAATGTTAGTGATAAAGGTAGTAATAACTACCTCGGGCAGTGGCCCAAGCTGCAGCTTCCAGTCAGCCACATTATCATGAGGGAACCTGACGGACCCTCTACAGTTGCCTGTGCTGCTGAGCTAGGACGTTTTGTAGGTTAGCTATCAAAATACTTTTGGACCTCCAGTATTTTCAGTTTACAATGAGTTTATGGGGATATAGTCCTATTGTGAGTGAAGGAGCATCTATATGCATTTGAGGTAACATGGAACAGGTTTCTGTCTTCTCCAGCAAAGTCATGGAAAGTAAGCCAGTTCTGTTTCCAGACATGGATTTGTGCAGATCTGCGGGTGTCAGACTTTATCCTAATTCAATGACAAAGAAAAGTTTGTGGTCTGGTGAGGTCCTGAAGCACAAAGGGAATAACAAGGAAGGAAGTGGATGGGAAAGACGGTGCCTGGGCTGGGCAAGGTGAGATAAGAGTGGCACCCAGTGTACAGCATGGCAGGAGGCACTGAGTGAATGCCCCCTACTGGTGTGAGCTTGAGGCTCCCTTCCCTGGTCCTGGCCCTGTTTGGTGAAGGTATAGCTGGTAGGGCTTTCTGTCATCATGGGAGATTGGGATTTTAGGTTCTCCCACTGCTTGACTCTGAGAAAACTATCCTAGCACTTGAAAGGGAAATGGACAGGAGATAAACATTGGGATGGGAAACCATTCGGGAATGCTTCTTTGATCTGGGTAAAGTCCTTAATCTGAAGGGGGTGGAGGCCAGGAGGAAAATAGGACAGCAAAGACACCTCCCCAAGACATTTCCAACATAATGTGGTGACTAGTGAGGTCAATGCTCTGGGAAAAGAAGGAAGGGAATGAGCTAAGGAGACAAAGGAGTTGTTACGCTTCTTCTAAGACTGTAGACAAGAAGTCCAAAGAGAGATACAGTGCAGACCAGGAGGCTGGCTGGAGGCCTGGGCCAATGAAGCCAGGCCCTGCCTCCTTCCCTAGGACATGCGGGGCTGCATCCTAGGAGAGTCCTGGGGCTCCTGACATGTCCTGGCTGTGACCCTGGATGATTCTACAAGGTCTGGAAGGGTGGAGCCACAGGAAGGGGGTTTCCTGCATGCCACTGACCTGGTTGTGGAGAGCGGTGTTAGCCATAGAGACCCCATTTTAATCTTACCTTCCATTATAAAGAGCAAGGAGACTATGTTATGAAAAACCGCGTTCTTGCCAAGTCAGATGTTTATTATGATGAACGTTCTGTAACCCCGAGAAACAAAGAAGCCCATGAGGGCGGGGAATTTCCAAAGAGCTAGAGAACAAGGAAACAGGTGTCTTTGGATAAGGGTCATGATTAATGACCAAGCTCACCTGTGATATAAAGGGAAGGAGAAAAATAAACGGGCGCTTTCAGTCTCCCTGGGAGCCCTCCCGACTCTATTTCTGTGTCTTTCTTTTTCTTCATCCTCACTCCCCCATTCAGGTGCTGTTCGACAAGTGACGGCGGGCTCCGTCACCTGGTACAGGGCATCTTCACACAAGCACTGATGGTAGAGCTAACAAAAATCTCACTTCCTCAAGAACTGTCTACCCAATGTCCCTTCATTCCTCCTTCCTTTATCCCTGAAGCAACTATCTTGCCTCCCCAAGATACAGACCTGGGACAGCAGGCCTCCAGTGAGGCTCTGGATTCCCTGCACACCAGCCTGGACAGGCCCCTCCCTGTGTAGATGGTTTCAGGGAAAGTGGTACTGTGAGGGTTGGGAAAACGTGGACTCTTGACCCAGCCACTTCCCAGGTTCTCAAAAACAGCTGGCCCACACTCTGGAGTTCAACCCTGCACGGAGAGTTCCACCCAGAAAGTAAAAACAATACAGATTTATGATTTGAAAAAAGGAGGGCTTTGGAGGCCAGCAGACCTCACACAACTTTTCTGATGCTATTCCTGTGATAGCAATGGAAAGCAGAGCTGTTATTCATTGAGCACTTACTATATGCCAAGCACTGTTCAGTGCAACATAATTATTACCTCAATTCCTCTCAGTCATATGCAATGATACTCTTCCCCACTCCCATTTTACAGATAAAGAAACTGAGGCTTAAGGACTCATTCAAGGCCACAGATATAAGTAGCAAAGCTGAGGCTCACGAATAGGTGTAGCCCCAAACACTCCTGCTCCAAACTATGCTCTACCTTAAGAGTAGTAGGGCACCCATGATAGGGCCGGCTGGATGAGGACTGAGATGGTCTTTGAAAAGTACACTGTATATATAGCACATGGTGTGTGTTACCTAAATACATGTGCTGTGGTTTTTGTTGCTAAGTCCAACAGCTCACATCTCTGCCAGCTCCTGGGAGCTTTGCTGCCCACTACATGCTCCAACAGCTCCTCTCGGTGGCTTCCCTTAGACTACAGAAGCCCACGGCCTCCACAAAGAGTTCAAAGTGCCTGGAGACTGCATAAGCCCAGTCCCTTGTCTCAGTTATGACACATTTTGTGAGGAGCAGTCACTCACCTCCAGGGTCCTGGGGGATCCGGCAAGAGCCAGCCTGCAAGATGGAGTCTCAAATCCCGCCCATCCTTGGGTTCTCTCACCCTTTCCAGTTTCACCTGAGGATGAACCCTTGATGAATTAGCTACACCTGAATTTTCCTCGGGCCTTGTTTCTGGGGAACTTAACCTAAGATACCATCCCACTCTCACTTTTATGCAAATGCAGCCCTCAGATCTGTGGCGGTGTGGATCTAGTCTATCTGGGGGGACAGTGGGAGGGTGTACCCAGGAGGAGCCCAGGTGATGGTTCGGAGTAGAACTCACCAAGCCCCAGTTTACCAAAAACCCAAAGGCCTGACCCCAACCCCTCCACCAGCTTTGGCTTGTGTTTGGGCAGAGAAGCGGGAGACACCTGCTAGCAGACACAATCTAGCTGCAGTTTCCCCAGACCATATTTCCAAATGGAGCTGCTGGCCCACTGACTAGTAATATGAGACAGAAACAGGGCATCCTGATGGGCCTTTGTGGGGGCTGCTAGGGTCACAAGGAGCAATATGGGAAGTGGAAAGGGCCTAGCCTCGCAGGAGGAGGGCAGGCCTGGGGACCAAGCCAGCAAGGAAGCAGAGAACAAAGACCACGCCTACATCCCCAGCTGTGTCCCTGTTAGGAAAGGATTCCCTAACAGCACAGTCACTGGGCACAAGCTGGCTGAGGCCTGGGGAGCAGCTTGCTACTTCATACCAAGATAATGCCAGCACAAGTGTATAACCCTAAAGAGAGAGAATGGGATCCAGAGCTGCACAGAAGGCCCACAGCATCCCTACCCGGGACACCCAGGTCTTGGCATTGCAGTCTCATCTTCTGACGAACCCTCAGATCCACACAGTCAACCTAACCACAGCCAGGTTCCATCAGCTACCAGTCATGAGCTAGGAGCTGGGTGAAGCAAGGGTGACTATGAACCCTAGAAAAGAAGGCCCTGTTTAGGGGTTCTGTAGCGCCCTGCAGGCAAGCAATGAGCCAGACTTCCTGGTTTGTCATTGTGCCCACATCCTAATCCCGAGAAGGTATGGTCAGGATGAGTGAGGGCAATGATGTGCAAATGCTCCCAAACCTTTCCCATCCCTACTTCCTCCCTGCTGCCCCTCACCTACCACTTCCGAGTCTGGAAGCCAAGGTCAGTGGGTAATGGGGAACCACTTGATAACCAACCATATTCAGCCCCTGAGGATGGCTCTGTCCCACTGAGAACCAATTCGCACACTGGCTCTGATTTGTGGATGTGACACGAATGATAACAGGCATTTTAGGACCCTGACTCTGTACCTGCTAACTTAGGGAAGCTCTGACCCTGACATATGACCCAGCTTTTACAGGGATGGTCCCCATCTGGGGGCACTGCATGTCTGCTGTGTTGTGAGTGGCTTAGCTATGGGGCCCTACCATGAGCTCACCCTTCAGCTGAGAGAGCCAAGGCAGCAGCAATCCCGGAGTTTTCATTCCATTGTTTTGTTGAAATTGCTCT